TTTTGGGATCTGATTCTGACTAAGCTTTCGTGAAATTGTGCAGGCGTACATTTAAGCCAGCTTCGCCACCTCTGGTCAATAAGCCTCAGGACTGGCCGACTACCCGACATTGATTACTGAGTTCAAGAAACATCCTGCGTTCTACTTTCCTCCGTTCAACTTCGTACATACAGAAAATGTACATGTGTATTCCTACACCACGCATTGCTACATCTGAAAGCAGGCTTAACAGAGAAGGACTGAGGGGCCAGCGTTAAGAAGCATGTCCTGAAAATTATTAAAAACTTAAAGCCACACTAATTAGGAACGGTCATGTAGCTTGTAATAATTTATTATACTACCCTTCTACAACACTCGGGAAGTGAGTTCGACCAATGACAAGTGGAAGTTTACTTATTTATTCCTTTATGTTTACTGCCAGCTCAATGAGACTATTACAGGAGTAGAATACACAAATATACAAACATTTATAGGTCATCTCTGTTCGCCCCGTCGCGGTGGTCTAGTGGCTAAGGTACTCGGCTACTGACCCGCAGGTCGCGGGTTCAGATCCCGGCTGCGACGGCTGCATTTCCTATGGAGGCGGAAATGTTGTAGGCCCGTGTTCTCAGATTTGGGTGCACGTTAAAGAACCCCAGGTGGTCGAAATTTCCGGAGCCCTCCACTACGGCGTCTCTCACAATCATATGGTGGTTTTGGGGCGTTAAACCCCACATATTTATCTAGGTTATCTCTGTTCACCTCTTTCAATGGTAGATATCTAAGATTTTGATATATTAGGTTCCAGACTTCAATTTTAATGGAAAAGTCACTTACGTAAAGGAGTCAGTGCCATAGAAAAATGTTTAACGATGATAATCATTTTTACACCTCTTTAAAATGATATTCTGACTACCTAAGTGATCAACACAAGTGGACTTTAACTAACTCCGTCCTGCGCAAGCCAATTCCACCTTTTTTTTAAATAAGGTAGTTCCCTGCTACCAAATTACCTGAGGGCAAGTGTCCTATCAAGTGACTATGTACTTCGGTCTGTCGAGCACCAGGCCGGCAGTGCACTTGTACTTACTTTAGCCGTAGGTACCCGGTGACTGCAGTTCTCTGTCTCCCACAGCAGCGACGCATGCTCGACTACTTCACTAAGCCTGTGGTGGATTAAGGTGTGCCCAGTGGCCTTTACAGAAAATTACGGAGCCACCTTCCCCGATTAGTACCCAAGAACAACAGAGTGCCAGACCAGTGTATTCTCCACTTTGAAAAAAAAACAGCGAGTTCGGCACCAGGAATCGAACCCGGTACCTACCCCACTAGCAACGAGCGCTCTACCAAGTAGCCATCGCTGTGGGTATTTTATGGCTGCAGCGTTCCTAATTTAAATCCCCCTGCTTAAACTTCTGCTAGTTTCAGCGCGTTTTTATCCACCCCTGTATGACATCTCCTATTCATTAGGCACGACGAAATTGCAAATGACGAAGGGTAAGAAATGATGCCCGAAACTGTTGCATGATAGAGTACCAGTGTCTATACTCACGTGTTTCACATGAGGCTCCCGCGAAGCCCAAGGCACAGAGGCATACACCCTGTTCCACTCCATTGGCGATGCACTGGCCGCCGTTTTGACAGCTCACTCCACTGCATCCGTCACCGCCACATTCATCTGCAATGGGCAAGCAGGCGAAACTCACTCGACCTAGTAGCTTATAGTAACCAGTAAGGTAATGTAATTAGGGGCCGCCACTGCCTTCTCTGAAGGACATTGTCAAGACAGAGAAGAAAAAAACAACAGCAAGAGGAAAGTTAACCAGACAGGCACCCGATTTGCTACCTATAGAGGGGTAGTAGTGGTAGGCTCATGGAAAATAAATAATGAGCATTGCCTCCAATAAACGAGGTCAAACTGCGAAATCCGTTAACCTCATTTGGAGGTATGCAATCGCAACAACAACGCGGCCTGAGCAAAACAAAAATACCTTCAAAATGTACCACGATACTGCAGAAGATACTCGGGCACAAAGTTATTGGAATGCTGATACAAATACGATCTAAAATATATTAGCTACATTCTATATACGTATAGCCTACGCAGACGTGTGTACGGAGAAATATTTGCCTCAATATTTGTTACTGTGAGTATTTTTTATATGAATGAACTGTATGACAGTATCTCAAAGGTTTTGTATTTCTCGCTCGAAGTATATTCGTTTTATTTCGAATCAGCTTATTGGGGTCACTTCATGTGCTTAATGTGCAGAACCCTTTAAACACTGCGCTTTCTGCTGTTTTTGCTTGTCGTGTCAGTAAGTGACGGGAGCCGCTGCTCTTCTTACTTATCAGTTCGTCAACTGTCAATAAATTACAGCAAATGTGATGAGTAGCCTCCAAAATTTTTTGAAAGCCTCTGCAGTGTTATCTTGTCCGTAAATGTCTTACGCTTCCGCAACACTGAAGCATCGGACAGATCCCAACCGGTTCTAACACAGCCCGTCTTCTCGTTTTTCATATACCCAGACAAATAAATTGCGTTGTAATGGACATCTCTTTTATGTAAACATTTGACAGAGGTCTGTCTGGTTGGGTATGAAACTGGGAGATGACTTAGGCTCCAACCCAATAACTTTTTGTGGAAGCCTAAATCATCTCCCACATCTCTTTCATTCATTAGGCACGAGAATGACCCTTTTCTTTTTCCAAGTACACGACAGCCAATTGGAGACTGCCGGTGGTTAACGTCTGTCTTCCCGTAACCTTTCTTCGTTCATCACTGTACGAGATGACTCCCCGTTTCAAGTGCAGGATTCTTAATTATTTTCTTATTACTGATGATTGCTTAGTAATCG